TGGCCGTTGGGGGGTCGGATTTTGAGTCGGGGCTTCTCAGGAGCCGTAGACCATTCCCGCGTGCTTAGAATCATTTATTACACTTGCATGCACATTTGTTTCAACCTAGAAATGCATTTAGGGTCAAATGCATATTTGGTGCAAAGTTGCATTTTTTGAGTTTTTAAGCCTTAACTGATCTAAGGGAATTTTAGTCATTTCACAGTGTGTTTTTTTTTTTTTTTTTTCTCTCACGAAGCCGGGTAGAAAATTTGATTTTGGGAGGAGTTTCTTCTTCATGTTTTTCCAGAAAAATTCAGTTGATAGTCCGTTTCTGCTCTCAGATGTGGACAGATACTGTAGTAGCTTTTTGCCCTCTTGACCCTCTTCTGATCTAGGAGCATTTTGGGTATTTCACAGTAAGTTTTTTTCATTTTCTTCCACGATGTCGGGTAGAAAACTCGATTTTAGGGGTGGTTTTTTCTTTATGTTTTTCTAGAAAAATTCGTTTTGGACCTCGTTTCGGCTCTCAGTTCTAGCTGAATCTTTTTTTGCCCCTAACATTTCATGGTGCTTGTCAGGATGCTCGTGGGGTGCTCGTGGTGCCCCGTCTCGACATCGTGACGTCAATTTTTGTTTTTACTTGTTCTCCTTCGTCGGGACTCCAAATTGAGTAAACTTTTTGTTGAACTTGACTAATTTTTCGCTGTCTTTCCAACGATGTACTCGGTTGCACCCAGATCTTCCTGGATAATTACCAGTTTTCCCTTTTAGCCTTAAGTGTTCGTTTTTCTTCGTTATGTCATTTCTCCTTCGTCCGAACTCCGAATCATGCGATTCTTAAGTCTATCTTGATTAATTTGTCGTTGTATTTCTAGTGGTGTGCTCGGTGGCACTCGAATCCATATTTTCATAAATGACTATTTTGCCCTTGGGGCTATTTTTGTCCGATTTTTTTTCTTGCTTTCCGCTTCCGCTATGCTTTCTTATGAGTTTCGTGACTTCATAGGAAGTCAATGATGTGTCTTAGGAATGATGTACTTTTCCAAAGACGTTACTTCCAGGTAAAAGATTATTTTGCCCTTGGGGCTTATTTGGTCTTTTTTTTTTATCTTTTCTTCCGCGTCGGTTCTCGTGGAGTTCCGTGGCCTTATAAAAGGTTACTTTGGTATCCTAGGGATGTTGTATATCCCTAGAGACTTGTTTTCTGTTTTCGCTTCCGCATTTCGGATCCATTATCGGGTTAAACTATAGTTTATCATAGGATGCACTAGCTTGAAAAACCAAGGCCGTCACAGACAGAATATTTGATATGAGAATACCATAGGAAGATTTGAGTCATAGATATTGATTGGAGTGATTTATGGTATTGATTTTAGGAATCTTCCATTAATGTATTTTCTATATTTATCACCTCTATTTTTTCACCTATAAATAGAGGTGATCATTGTATACAAAGATTAAGAGAGAATATATTATAAAGTGATATTGCCCTTTGGGCTCTTTGTCCATGGATGTAGGCCGTAGCGCCGAACCATGTATATGCCTGTGTTTTCTTTCTTCCCTTTTTCTATTTGTATTTCTCATTTTCGCATCCAAAATTTAACACTCCTTCTTCAAATTACTCCATATTTTTTTTACTTCTCTAATTTTTTTTTTTCCTTTTTCAAAATTTTTCTTTCTTGACTTATAATGTATGTACTATAACAGTTTCTTGACTTATAATTTATCTCAAAAATGAGAAGGGTCAAAACTTATTTCATATTGCAATTTTGAACCGTTAAAAAAAAATATTCAAACTCATTTGTCAATTTAATGACAAGCTTAACGTGGGTACTGTTTTATCAATGCCAAATTCATCGTACAAGACTGGTTTGGATCAATATAGCTGCATGTTTGACAAGTGAGCAAAAACTCAAGCTTAAAACTAATGCAGTCAGTGCAGCTCTACAAATGCAACTCGAATTGCAGTGGTTTCAAGTAATTAGGTTTTATTAAAACAATTATCATGTCTTATTTCTCATTAAATGACTAATAAGTCCTATTTATTTTCTTTAGGTCCAATAAGTTTACTTTTGAAATTTTTTTCTATTTATGTTCTAAATCACTAGGTCTTCTGTAACACCCCATATATATATATATATTGTATATATATTTTTTATTTATTTATTTATGAATTCATGTTTTTTTATCCATTTATTATATATCTATGTGGAATTGTGAGGGATAGTAGGTTTATCGTATAATGGATTTTGAGAGATATAAGGTTATCAGTTTAGTTTGATTTTTTTTAAAAGAGTCCTTATAAAACTCAACTACTAGTTATATATCTAAACTTGGTGTATCGGCATTTCATTACGTACGATACTATTCTGTGAAGTCTTCACAATCATTCAAAGTAACGAAGAAGCTTAAGCAAATTCCATTATCAGGCAAGTTAATTCTTGCTTTTGATCTCTTATATGTAATGCAACCTAGTATGCTAGCAGTTAAAGCTTGATTTCTCATGTTATGATTAGTAAATATATATATATATATATATATATATATATATATATTCATATCGATCTGTTCTTAGTTTCTGTACGGAAGGTTGTAGTAGGAATTATTTTGATATTATTTAAGATTGCACTAACATTAAAAAGTGAAATGTTATATTTTAGTGTGTAGTCAAAATATCTTAAAATTGCCCTATGGAAGTCTCTGAATACATGGACGTGATAGTGTGTGTATACTTAGTGTCGAACAATGATTCCTCGTGTTCATGGGTATACTTAGTCTGGAATTTTAATCCATAGGTACATAATGAGAATGAGCAAGTGATCATAGCCTGTATTGATTAAATCATTTTTAGAGCTTTAAGTACCTGCTTGACATTTACTTGAGACACAGAACTTAAATGTTGAATCATTGATTTGGAGATTATTATTAAATAAAGAACTATGAACTCATGATGTGGTGTATGTGCTGCACATAGACATTATGAAGGATTTGGAGATATATTATGGTATTTAAATTACATACACATATAGGTGGAGCAAGTGTTCAATTAATCATTCAATATTGGTTGCTGGCATTTACATCTATGCTATTAAATTATTATTATATAAGTTGTGTATCGATGTTAAGTTCAGAGGATGGCTACAGTGATGCATTTAAGGATCTGTAATTGGCTCATTTCTAATTGTAGCCTTATTATATATTTGATTGACTCGATGAAAAATTAGCTAGGACTCACTAGTGTAAGGCAAGGGATCACCATGATTAAAGAAAGAGAAAATTTCCATTATAAAATGAAATACAGTTTGGTCTTCAAGGGTTATTTTGATTGAGGACTATTAATTCTTAGTGTTGTTGTTACTTGTGACCCCACGAAATTAGAGTGACTGCCAAAGAGAGAAATTTGGATAATGATATGTTGGTATTTATTAATTAATTAATTAATTAATAAGTAAGGTGTTTGATCAACTCATGATATTATGAGTAGGAATTATTTAAATATATTTTAGTGTTTAATTGAAGTGATTAAACTAGTTGGAGCAGTAGTCTGGGACTTAACCAATGATGAGTTTTTTGAGCGCAGTCAGGGACTGTCTACGGGAGTGAATTACTCTTTTATTATGGCCATGGGCTAAAGGTGCCCTTAGTATGTGGATGTGGTCAGGGGCCATCTGGGTGAGTAGACGTACAACCCAGCCACATGTGTGTATTTGGTAGTCAGGGACTATGCAATTCACATCATTTATTTGGAGTGGAGCTAGAGCTTATGTGAGGTAATGGTATTAGAACGCAAACTGGTTGAGGGGAGCCAGGGGCTCATGTGAGGTAAGTGGAATTATAGTAATTTAAATTCTAGATGGGTTACAAGTTCACAGTTTGAGTTAATATTATAGAATGACGATGATTAGTAGATACTTCGTGGTCACTTATATATGTATATATATACGGATTATAAGTAAGGATTGGCTTTCTGAAATGATAGTGTTTATCAATTTCTTACTGAGCTTGTGAGCTCACCCCTTTATTACTTTCAGTTGCAGATGGATTTAGCCTGCAAAGGAGGCTCAATGGGAGATGGAGATTTTCCGGATATCCACATATTGATTTTATTTTTGTTTCTTAGCAAACACTTTGTAATAAGATTCACTTAGTTGGCGAAATTCTATTTTGTTAGAGAAATAATAGATTTCCGTTGGATTGATGGATTTTTAAATTAAATGTATTCTTACTAATTTATTCATGGATTATTGTGGATGTATGATGTGAGTCACATGCCAGATTTAGTATAAGACAAGGATTCGTGTGTTAGAATTTTTGGGGCGTGACATCTTCCATTTATGGCCTTGCTGAAAGAAGTAATATGTAATTATAAATGTATCCAAAAACTTATTTATAATCTAATGTTTTATATATTCTGTTACTTTTAATTAATACGTATTAGTAAATATTGCATTATAAATGTAAGGAAAAAAAAAATATATATATATATATATATATATATATATATATATATATATATATATAATATAAGAGGTAATGAAACGAAAAATGGTTGATTAATATGAAGATTTTGGTCGAGTTGGCACCAACAAGCATTGGCCAGTTGGATTTGACATATTATCTGGTCCAATAAAAAATTGAGGATCAAATTCTATATTCTGACTTGCAAAATTCATTGTTTCACAAATGCTAGAAGAAGCATGACCCATTAACACACACACACACACACATATATATTTTTCCCACAAGAAAAGATTTGACAAATATAACTGCTTAGCCAACCCAAACCCCTAATGCACCTTTGCAAGTGCTTCAGGATGCAGAAGTAGAGAAATTTAGGTTTCACTTGCCAATAAGAGGAATACATAGAATTCTAAATTTTCTTCATATCATCTCATATTTTGAAACCTCAACTTCAATCTGCTTTCTAAACGCAAACCATCCATTTAATGCAGGAAATAGAAAAATTATCATTTTATTATGAGAACAAGTGGAAAATTGGAAAAAAGACCCCTGCAACAATGTTTTCTGAAACGCACAAGAACTTGATGAAAGGAGAGAAATGGTTAAAAGACACTGCTAACTCATGCACAATTGCAGCAGCTCTGATTGTTGTTATAGTATTTGCAGCTGCCATTACGGTACCAGGTGGAAACAATGGAAATAGCGGACATTCGATTCTCACTAAAGATATAGCGTTCAAATTTTTTATTATATCAGATGCAATAGCTCTTTTTTCATCTGTTTCATCTTTATTAATGTTCTTGTCTATTCTCACTTCGCGTTACGCAGAAAATGATTTTCTCCACACCTTGCCTAGAAGATTGATTACTGGTCTCATAACCATATTTATCTCCATTGTATCTATGATGGTAGCCTTTGGAGCCACACTCTACCTTATTTTTGGTCAGAACAAAGCATGGTTTATTGTTACTGTAAGTGTAATTTCTGCTGTACCCGTGATCTTATTTGCATCCTGGTAATTTCCTCTGCTTTGGGATATGTTAAAATCTACCTATTGTGGTGGCATTTTTGGGGGATAAACTACATGGAGGAAATAGTTTATTTTTATCTTATATAATAATATGTAATAACGCCCTGTACTCCATAGGATTGCTGTTGTAACCATTAAGTTTTGCAACAGCAAGGATTTAATAATATTTGATTTGGAATTTTGTTCATGTTTCCTCTCATTCTTAGCAGAAAGAAACTCCAGTTTATCGTTTCTCGAAAGAGGGTACGGAACTAATCAAAGGAAAAAGTGAATGACAATGTAAACTGATTATTTCTTATTTTCTTTCCCTATTTCTCTCTCTTTCTCTAATTTTCCATCATAATTAATTGTCTCCATCTTTCACAAATGTGATCCCAATTAATTGAGACTATGGAAAGAGATGCAGTAAGCATTCATGACCGTTGATATTAGTTACTCATGAAATTCCCTTTACGAGTGCTTATATTACTAAAAAATAGGGTTAAATAGGACCAAAGAAAATTAAAGGAGTTTGTTTACTGACTAATCCTGTTTAAAAATGGGAATCCAATCATTTATTTTGAGTGAAATTACATGGTAATTGCTTATTCTGTTATATATATATATATATATATGTATTGCTAAATTAGTGAAAGGTTTAAAAGAGTCAAGGTTCATAAAATTACTAAGTAGACTGTAAAATGAATACATAATTGGATAATCAATAGTGATGACGGCGAAGAGTACAACAACGCGGAGAGGACGGCTTTGCGAGTTTGCCAAGGTAATCTATTACTCAACGTTGTACAATTTAATTAGTGAAGATCATCATCGGTTTGCCCTGTGATTTTTTCCCTCTACGGGAGGTTTTTCCATATATTATTATTATTATTATTATTTTTTTTTTTTTTTTTTTTTTTTTTTTGGGATAGTAAAACAAACACACACACTTTTTTGTCCAAGCTAGGCTCAAACCGCTCCCCTCTTCTTTCAAGGTGGGAGAAGTGGGAGACTTTCTACATCATTTGCTGTTTATTTTTTTAAGCTTATTTTTCTCAGCCCAAAAATTTTTGGACCAAGAAGTAACACCATTCCAGTGTGATGTACCACAACAACCAGCCAACCGTACTTATAATTAAGTTGAACCTCTTATCTGCTGAATCTTTTCATTGATTGTAAAGTATATAAGTTGGCGGTGTAAAATGGAGTCAGATATATAACACAAAAGTGACAATGAACTAAAAATTTGAGATCTCTAATCATATTCTTGGAGTAACCTTTATCTTTTAAAATTTCACAAAAAGCAAAGCAAATTTCAAGTGAGTTATACGCAACGAATATTTAAAAAGTTTTGTACTTTTTTAAAAACATATTTTGTGTTTTTCTAACTTTTTTTATTTTAGCAATTAAATACTTAATCACATGCACATAAAATAAGTAAAGTAAAAGTTACAGATCACACTAAGATTTTTAGTGAGCAAACCCCAATTAATAAAATACGTCAACTGTTTACGTAGGAAAAACTAGTGGATTGTGCATTCCAAAGTAAATCGATCTACTATGTTTAAAACGAAGTACACTAAACTTTGACTCTAACTCATACCCTATCATTTTACCAAATACTAATAGCTGACAATTCTCTGACTTTGTGACGACTCGTCCAACAACTACTTGATCTCAGGCTTATGCTTGATCTTTGTAGAAGAGTAACAAATAGATCAAACAACACTCCTCGAATACTTTGACCCTTTCAAAGTGTGATCGCTTTTACTTCTGTTCTTCAATATCTGAATTCGATATAGAAATAAATCTGTTTTTCTCTAATCGATGTAGATGCAACTGTATGATCACGATCAGGATTTTGAACAACACTCTAAACTCACTCGTGTTTATATTTATGTTCTGAAAAGGCTGATAGAAAAATCTCTTGAATTTTCTACAAATATAATCTTCGTAAGACTTTTAAGAATAATGAATTGATAGTGCAAAAGCCATTAATAAACCTAGATGTGCATCAGGGTTTATATAGAATTTTCAAAGACCTAATCCTTTTGAAAATAAAAAAAATTTCATGCATAGTACTTTTGGTATAATTCTAAACTAAGTAAAAAGTTTAAAACTGGTTAAGACAAAGTTACATAAAGTTGAAACAGCAGTGGTACCGGTAGCAAGATGTGGTACCGGTTCCTAAAAGACAGAATAGATTTCTTCGACTCTAAGTTTCTTGAACTGGATCCCAAATGTGGTACCGGTTCCCACTTGACAGAATTTAAGCAGAAGATGGAAAATTCTATTTTTGGTAACTTGGAAAATTTATCTTGTCGGTATTGTGTCCTAAGTGGGAAACGACTTCCTAAAAATGTTTTTCTTTCCCTTTCCCGATGATCTTAGTATTTGGTCTTCTGAACAACCTTTTCATTCTAAAGTCGATGTCGATCCTGATATGATAACTTAAATTACAATTCGACTAGGACTTGTTTTGACATCAAATATTGCCAATTACAAATTTATATGTCTTAGATTTGCAAACATTTATCACTTCACCCCACACAAAAGATGCCTAAAATTTTGATTTGTCACTGCAAATCACGTTATTGAGATTATTCTTCTTGACTTGACTTCGCTTGATTTTAAGTCACGGATTTACTCGGCCATCCGATCTACCAACCAGGTTAGAATATATATATATATATATATATATATATATATTGTGTAATAATAATGACACTTGATTATGATCTTTTTGCTTTTACTCATGCCTCTCATGGGAAAGCATTCGTTCTATCCACTTCAGAAGTTGTATGCCTGAGTCAAATTTTTTACCAATTTATTTGCCAAAAGAAAAAAACTAGGAAATTTAAAAGGGCTCTGCCTTTTTAAAATATTTTTCACATCTATAATTGCATCGACTTGGAACATGTCATGCCTGCAATATGGAGTTGACTATCATAGTTTCAAAATTTTCTGACTTTTTTATTTTTATTTTACAGCAATATTACTGACTCAGATGGTCTAGCTTTGATGAGTTTGAATGACAAATAAATTGGGTGGTAGATGAAATAGAAGTCTTCTGAAATTTGATCTGAGAAACACATTCATCATTTAAAATTAATTGTTGAAATATTACTGAAAGAAATTTAGAAAACTTATTAAAGCAGTAGAACATGAACTCGATCTTCAAGCAAAACAGGCACTACAAGTAACTCCACCATTATAATTCAACTGCAGCTTTATTTACTCCTTATCATGGACCACACTCACGAGTCATATTTGTTTAGTAGGCATCAGGATTTGCCAGGAGGTAGGCCTCAACAGCCTTGAACATTGCAGACGCCTTTTCTTTGCCGCTCTTGATTTGTTCTTCTGTAATTTGGGCATCTCCTATGGTGTGATATTTACTGTTGCTCTTGCAGATGGATCCTCCATCAGAGGAAGCTTCGATTTTGGTCTCATAAGAGATTTTTTCAAGTACACCCATCAAAGCATCACCTTCGATTATGCTGTAACTGTAGACAAAGTTCTCTTTGTCAATCCCGTCAACTTGATGCTTCACGCTCTTCATTTGGCTGCCTGCATATCAACAAATCAGTATTAGGTACTACTTAAAAGAAATGTCCTAGGAAATAACTTATGTTGCATTTGGTGCCCAGAAATGGCACATTGGATTTGAAATTGTTTATTTAAAACTTTAAACAAACTTTGAACTAAATTTTCTCGCATTCTAATTAAAAACATAACTTAGTGATGATAATAGAAACTTGCCTTCACCAAAAGTGACTAACTTGATTGTTCCGATTCCACCATCTCCTTGGATGATTTCAACACTCTTAATAGCTTGCGGCAAGATCTTGGGGATGAGGTTGTCGGCATCAAGAACGAAGGCTTTGAACATCTTGGCTGGGGGGATTGAGGACGTAATCTCCATATCATAACTGATCACACCCATGACAGATATTGGTCTAAATAGATTGAAAAGGTGCAAGGAAGTAGGAGAAGAAGAGTACCAATTATCAATTGGCTTGTGAGGAGGTTTTGGTGTGTGGAAAATGCAAGAACTCAAAAGTGGTATTTATAGAGTTAGCTTAAGGTTCCCTTGGTGTAAATTAAAATAGAAAATATCCACTTGACTGCAAATGGGGTCCTTAATATTCCTTATTGCATTATGATATCTGGTCATGATACATTTTTTAAATGAACAACATGTTGGATATTAATAAATAATGAAACCTTGAATTTTCAAATATGGCTGCTAATAGTTTTATGCACATGGCTGGCCTATAAATAATTTGAACCCCATCACCATGGTCCCCCCTGCAGTTCTGACAATAAAGTGGTAGAAGATTCGAATTGTTACATGCAAATTTATGACTATTTGTCACAGTACATTTGTTTTCCCAACCTCGTATTTTGCCAAAGAAACAGTGAATGGCCCTATTAATGTTGAAACATGGCAATGTTTCATAATATTGTTATGAAATTTTAAGAATAAAAAGGAGGCCATAGAACCAGGGGAGAGCCAATTAAGAACCACAACTTACTATACATATATATATATATATATATATATATATATATATATATATTTGTTATATACATATATTTATATGGCAATTTTGAATAATGCCCTCCTTAAAATTTTCAGATTCCTTTAATATCCTTTGAAAAAGAAAAAAAAAAAAGTTTACCCATATCCCCTTGTTAAAATATATAAATATTTCTATATAACTAGAGCGAAATCATCCACCACCACGGTGATCCGGTCAATTTCCTTCCAATTATAAATAATTTTAGAAAATTTTATATTTGGAAAATTTTAATATAGGAACCTTAAAGTACTCCTTGACAGAATATTTGATATGAGAATATCGAGAGATCTAAACCTATGATAGAATATTGATTGGAGTGATTTATGATATTGATTTTAGGAATCTTTCATTAATGTATTTTCCATATGTATCACCTTTATTCTTTCACCTATAAATAGTAGTGATTATTGTATACAAAGATTAAGAGAGAATATATTATAAAGTGATATAACCGGAGATGATCTATACAAAGATTAAGAGAGAATATATTATAAAGTGATATAACCCTTTGGGCTCTTTGTCTATGGATGTAGGTCTTTGTCTATGGATGTAGGCCTTAGCGCACAACCATGTATATCTGTGTTTTCTCTCTTCCCTTTTCCTATTTGTATTTCTTATTTTCGCATCCAAAATTTAACACCCTTTCTTCAAATTACTCCATATTTTTTTTTCCTTTCTAATGTATGTACTATAACAGTTTTTTCTATTCTTATTCTTTTTATTTTTCTTCTACTTATTTAATTCAATTCATAAATCACTTCAAAATGATCAGAATACCCATTGAAGGCCGATGTCATTGTATTTAACTAAAATATTATTAATTAATATTTTGAATATTATATTTGTCAAAGTATTTTTTTTTTTTTTTACACTACTTATTTAGCATAGTATTTTACAATTTTTTTTCTTGTTTGCCTTTTAATTTAAGAAAAATTATATTTGTTATACTTGTTGATTTTTTTTTTTTTTTTTCAATAAGTGCACTGTACCCCGTGAAATAAAATAGCCTTGCATAGAACCATTAAATAAATTATCACGGTTTTGTAAATGAGCATGATGGACAGGAAACTAAACATTATGAATTGGTAGATCATGATGATAAGTGCTCAAGTGTGATGCATTTTAGCACCTAAGTTAGGGTATTTTAGTCCATCTATCTTACTTTCATGTTTTAGTACTTATTTGTGTTTTTGTCTATTTCAGGTCAATAAGGTTCAAACAAGCTAAAAAGAGCCTTTTAGCTTAACTTTGGAGCTAAAGAGAAGATTCAAGAAAAAGTCAGAAAAATTGCACTGAAGGAACTCCAATCGATTGAAGGAAGTCCCGATCGATCGAAGATATCTACAATCGATCGAGATCAAAGCGGTGCCAGCTCAATGGATAAGGTTGTCAGGTGTCAAAATATCTTTACCACGTCAGTTTCGATCGATCAAAGCAAATGTTGGATCAATTGAAGTCTTGTTCGATCTGTTAAAGTGACTGCTGGCAGTATACTGTCTAATTCCGAGTGTGCCCGGACTCTACCAACTTTTGTAGCTGCGAGTTTGCACCAATCAAAAGCCTTATTTATGACTTGTTGCCTACTCAAAGAGGCTTGTATAAAGGGGGAATTGAACCAGTTTATAAAATATCTTTTGTCTTCAATTTTATTTAATTTTTAGATTGTAATAGTTAGTTTTTCTCTCCAGAAAAGTTAGAAATAAGGGTTAGAAGAAAAGAGAAGAGTGGAGTGTGACGGCCCTAGATTTTCAAATCTAGTGCGTCATGTACTGAACCAAAAGATGACCTGATAACGGATCCAAAATGCAAAAGCGAAAGAAGCAAAATGGCCTCAAGAGATGTACGTCAACCCTAAGGCACTAAGATGACTCCCCATGAAGTCACGAAACTCAAATGAGTCAAGCAATAAAGCAAGAATGCCAACCCGAAAAGAAATGAACCAAGGGCAAAATGGTCATTTCACACTAAAATGGGTGCCACCGTGCACACCATTAGAAAGACAACGAAAAATGAAGAAAGTTAGACTCAAGAATCGCCTAATTCTGAGTCCAGACGGAAAAGTTATGAGATTAAAACAAAGTGACCTTCTCTGTTTAAGAGTTACCACGACCCTGTCTTACTAAAACTGCAAAATCTCTCACTACAGTTGAAAATTTGGTGTGCGGTTGGTACCATTGGAAAGCTAACTTCAAGATCTTGAACTTAGACTCAAGAACGACCCAATTTGGATTTAAAATGAATGAGAAATGATCTCCCAAAGTTGGAATATCAAAGTTGTCCAAGGAAAAGATGAAGAAAAAGGTTCCAGGGAGGATCGGTCGACCGAACCCCAATCATCGGTCGACCGAACCCCAATCATCGGTCGACCGAAACAATGATTTTCACAAAAAGCCTACTGGAAATGGGGTCTCGAGGCTTGTTGGCCGGTCGATGGCTCTCATCAGCCGACCGACACATCTGCTGCAGCTAAGAAAAGCTGCAGCAATGTGTATAAAAGTTGCCCAGTCCATGTCTAAGGTTGTGCATGCATTCTACATGATCCGAACAAGTTTCAAAACATTCCCTAGCCTTGTGCAAGCATCTAAAATATGCTAAAACAAGAGGAAACTTAAAATGACACCCCAATGCATGAATTTTTCATAAAAAATCATAAAATCGCCCAAAAATAGGTCAAATGTTGAAACCTAAGAGTTTTGTGAAATATGGACATGCACACAAACGTAAAAAGACATTTAAGACGCAACCCAAAGGTCCGTGGCCTCAAAATGTCCTTAATGCAAAATATGACCTCTCAATGGCCAAAAATGCCTTAAAATGCAATAAACGAAACCAAAATGCAAAACCCAAAGCAAAATAATGTTTGGCCCTTGACCACACCTCATACATGATCATAGAGACCCTATGAAAGAAAAAGAATGGAATTCCTATACCTGATGCAAACATGGTGAAACAATAACTTATGATTTTTCAATATTTTCATAATAAACCTTGAAGCGAAAGTGCATAGAATACAAGATACATGTCATTGGTCTATGGCCTCAAGGATACAAGTTTTGATACTTAAGGCTACAAAAATGGCATTTCATGCTAACATTTACATAAAATGGAAACTTAAAAGTTACAAGTCATCCAAGGAATGATGAGCATCACAAACCAAGGTATCCATACCTGAAAATAACCCGGTAACTTCAAGATGAGTAAACAAGTTTACTCGTAGGGAATGAGCATGCATCGACCTAACTTTTTACAAGGTTATTACTTTAACTTGAAGTAATTCAAAGGATCATGCTACTTAACGTCTATGTCATAAGTGAGACTCATGGATCATCCTAAGCTACTCATGCAATTGAATTGAACTACGGCATACAAGTATACATGGTTAAGTATGGAAGTCAATATTAAAACATGATATACGATATACAAGCATACATTTACAAGTATACTAAACCATATTAAACAAGTTATGCAATGTCTAAGCATGCATATACAAATATACAATTAACATGGAAAACTCATGAACCAAGTATACAGGTACAAGTATACTAAGCTAAATGAATTACGCATAAGACAAGCATACATGACACAAGTATACAAAATGAAATTCAATTGAACAAATCAAACATACAATACGTAAGTATACTAAATAGGGTTTAGATACACAACCAAGGATATAAGTTCAAGTATGCTAAGTGAGATCTAAATACACAAACAAATATACAGTTTCAAGTATACTAAATAAGATCTAAATACACAAAGCAAGTATACAGTTTCAAGTATACTAAATAAAATCTAAAATGCAAAGCAAGCACAAATTCACAAGTTACAAGTAATCCATGATTAACAACTTGAGATTAAATGCGAAATCAAATAGTGGAAAGATTAGGACACGTGGTCACAGACCAAGCAAGTATTTTCGGGTAATTACGACCTACAAAGTACCACCTAATGCGCACTTATGACTTAGAAGACTCTTGCCTCCGTACTAAAGCCAAACCCTTGCCATCACATAAATTATGTCCTCACAAGCTTTCCAAAACCAATAAGTTCAAAACTTATACAAAATTAAATGCAAGTTACCACATCCCATGCATAAGTAAGGTTGAATTTACACAAACCATGTCCTAGAATTCAAGTCTAAATAGCATATGACATATCATGTCCTTAATATGCAATTTATACACAAAACAAGAATATTTTACAACAATTGAGCCCCATTACCATCCTAAGCCACAAGTACTAAATAAGCTACAATTTAGTAACAAGCTTTCAAGGTAATCAATTGTAATGTTCTATCAAGCTATATACCTACACAAGATATATTTAAACAAGTTATACTAGTCAATGATATTCTATATCATGCTAAGCCCAATTCCTTGATTTAAACATAGAAACAATTTCTAAGACATAGTTCAATCTATGAAACAAGTATCTAGATTTCAAATCAATCCCAAATAATCTCAATTTAATA